TGGCCAGAGCTCACCCTATCAGTATGTACGTAACTCCCTTGCCACACCAAGCCGTCCACAGCACTCAATTTACCTTAGTACCTAGGTACCCACCAACAGGCTGGCAGATTTCTCCAACCTGCGTTCAGTTTGGTGAAGAGAATTTCTGTTTGTTTCCAGCCTCCTGTTAGGAAATATCACTACCTATTTTTTTTCATAAGCTGTGAAATAAAATCCATGCGATCGCTAACTTAGAAGTGATAAATGGATTTTAAGGTCTTTGTTTTGCTTGTTATTGTTATGTACGAGATCCTCATGATTAAAGTCTAAATTGAGAGGCAGGGTAGTTTGAATGAAAACTAATAATTATTTAGATTCTCACATACTGCATCTTTCAGCCTGGAGATCATCTGGAAACATGGCAGGCACTGTCACACTGGGTACAGGAAGCAGAGCTTCTTTCTCACTGCCTGTCATGGTGGTCCTGAGGTGGTCAGTAGTAGAATGACAGGACCACCTTGAAATTATATTCTTTTCAAAGAAAAGATGCTGGTGCTTTTAGGGAGCTATGGAGGTCTAGTGGGTACCCAAAGGCAGGAGGACAGTTCAAATTGACGAGTAGCTGCAAGGGAGAAAGATGGGCAATCTCCTCCCATGCAATTTATACCTCTGAAAACCTACTGTCGGGCAGGGTAGCTATGAATTGGTTCTGACTCAACTGCACATAACAATACACAAGCATCTGGGAATGAATGACGAAAGAGAAACTGTTGATGGCTTAATGAAGAAATCTGTATAGTATGGGATTAAATGAACAGCCTGGACACAGCATCGTTTACTTGTTGTTGGTTAATTGCCAGTGAGTTACCTCCAGCTCATGTGTAACAGAATATGTGCCCTAGCCCTGTGCCATCTTCATGACCATTAATATGTCCAAATCCTTTGTTGAAATTGTTCTGGCAATCTGTCACGTCTACAGTCTCCTCATTCTTGTTGGTGTTCTATGAAAATAATCTCCTTTTCTAATGATTGATCTTTACTGATGATACAAGGATACATCCACCTGCTTACTTGTTATGTGCCATCAGCTCAACTACAACACACAGTGACCCTAACTATAAACAGTAGATCTGAACCCTGCTCTATCCTGAGCCAATCTGACTGTCTCTGACACACTTAACCTCATTACCTCCAGATGTCATTCTATCTCATCAGGGTCTTCCTGTCCTGCGCTGTCCCTCAACCCTTCCAAGCATGATGTCCTTCTCCAAAGACTGGTCCCTCCTGGCTACATGCCCAAAGTATATGAGATGGAGCCTCAAGATCCTTGCCGCCAAAGAACAGTTTGGTTTCACCCTCTCCAGGATGGACCTTTTATTCTCTTGGCAGTCCATGATGTGTTCAGTACTCTTCTCCAGCACCATTATTCAAAGCATAAATCTGTCATCTTTGGTCTTTGTCCAGCTCTCTTAGCAAGTAATTGCTAATGTCATGGCTTGTTTCAGGCACACCTTAGTCTCTAGACTGACATTGTTGCTCTTCAGCACTCTGGAGAGGTTCCTGACAACAGATTTTTGCAATGTAGTTTGTCTTTTGATTTCCTGACTCTGGTGCCAAGAGGACCATTGAGGACCCAAGAAATTGACATCATTAACAGTGTCAATCTCTTCACCATCTATCATGGTGCTGCCAATTACTTAGCCCTTGGGGGCAATAAAAAAGCCCTGTGAAGCCAATCTCTTGAGACAACAGGGACATCAAGGGAGAAAAAGTAACTCAGGCTAGAGAGCGAGCTGTGATTTCCTCAGAGCAAAGGAAGGGCAGCCCACCATTACCAAATTGCATATTCTGCCTCAAGCCTCTGTGATAGTGTACCTGCTCACTTTGATAAGGCTCTTATCACCTTTCTCCCAGTTTATTACTTGAAAATGTAGCCATTTTGCTGTTTCAAGATTGTAATATATTTTCTTAGTGATTTAATTTTTTTAAATAAATATGTTTTCATTTCCCCAACCCTATTGTGTTTCCTTGTATCTGAACAATATACAAAGTTCTCAGCGTGCTTCTCTTTGTAAGGTGTAGAATAAGTTTTCGAAGATGCCTAGAAGAGTAGCTGTCATTACGTTTGAATGCAAGACTATTTAATGTTTAAAATTAGTGAGTGAGAAAGGATACTGCACCATAAATCTCATTAAACTCATTGCCACATTGATGTTGGTCATAACCAATTTATAGCTGTCCCTCCAGCTGGTTTCCTGAGGCTTTAAATCACACAGGAGGAGGGAGATACCCATCTGTCTCTAACCAAGTGGCTGGTGGATTCCAACCCCCAGAGAGGTACCACATTTGAGTTAGCAGTGCACCTTCTATAGGTACAGTACCATCAAAGCTCACTAAGTAATGTAAAAGTAAAACTGAGGCTTAAAGAACTTCCGTATCCATGCCAGTAAACACTAACAGCTGCCTGTGGAGAAGGTGCACAGCTCAGACTCCTCCCCACCCCCAAGGAATTGCAGTGCTCAGGGAATACATTTAAGTAGTCAGTATTCAAATTCCTGGAAGTATAATGGATCAAGCCAAGGCTTTCTTACTTTAGAGATAAATGTCAAAGAGTTGGGGTGGGGGGTATTGTTGATTTTATGGTGGATTTCTAACATTGTTTAAAGGAAGCCCATCTTCTCTTGCAGCCAGTGTGCATCGTGTACAGCCACCTTTTCCTCAGAACTTTTTGTGTTGCTATGACCTTGAATGGGTTGTACGGTAGCTTCCATACAAGTACTGGAAAGGCTTGGTAATCCACTTCTGAAAGTCATTCATTGAAAACCTTACTGATTACAGCCATCCACTCTAGTTGTGCTTAGCTTCACCATGAGGCCAGGGCTTGTGAATGGCAGCAAACAACTCCAGAGCTTCTTTTCATTGTTGTTATTATATGAAGAATGAACAGTATCATACATGCATGCATGACTTCAGCAGGGTTTCAAAGGAAATTTTATGAAAGGAGACTGCCATTTCCCCCCCTCCCCCAGGAGCAGCTTGTGAATTTGAACTGCTACATTTAGTTTGACAATACAACCCCTTATTTCTAAACCAGCAGAGCTCCCTGCATATATTGTTACTGTTATGTGTCATTGAGTCAACTGTGACTGATAGCAACCCTATACACAATAACTCTGAAGACTGCCCTCTCCTGAACCAGTCTCACTGACTCCACACCTATCCCCAGTACTGCAGTTATTGTGTCAATCCATCTTATCCTGGTTCTCTCCTGCACTGATGCTCCACCTTTCCAAACATGATGTCCTTCTCCAAGGACCGGTCTCTCCAGCCAGTATGCCCAAAGTGTAAGAGGTAGAGGGTCAAAATCCTTGCCTCCAAGAAGTAACTTGGTTTCACCCTTTCCAGAACAAACCTGTATGTTGACTTGGTAATCCATGATATGTTCAGTACTCTTCTCTAGCACCACAACTCAAAAGCATCAATTCTCCTGTCATCCTTAGTCATTGTCCAGCTCTCTGATGCACAGCAAGTAATCATGAAGACCATGGCCTGGTTAAGGTCCCCCTTGGTTTCTAGACTGACATCGTGGCTCTTTAGCACTCTAGAGGGGCCTCTGACAGCAAATTTTCCTAACACACTTTGTCACCTCACTGCTGGTGCCAAGAGTTGGTTTTGCCTCAGGGAGAGACATCTTCATCACCATGGGACTTAAGCAGGCACCTCAAGTCAGTGTGATTTCCTTGCAGCCCACCTTTCCTGATACCGGCTATTGAGCCCTTTGGACTCTGAGCTGCATGTCAAGCTAAGCAGGGATTGCATTCAGTGTTCATGCCGAGAAAGCAATGGCTCCTTCCTGTGTCCTCTTGCATACTGAGCAGAAAATGCCTCAGATCAAACTGGACACCTGAAAGAGTGAACCTGGCCAAATGAAAGCAGCTATTAAATATGCCCTGAGTGTTGGCTAACATCACATTGACTCTGCTGCTATCTATGACAGTGAGACTGAGATCAGAGAGGCCCTGAAGGAGAACGTGGGATCAGGCAAGGCAGTGCCACATGAGAAGTTGTTTGTGACATCCAAGCTGTGGAACACCAGCCACCACCCTGAGAATGTGGAACCTGCCTTTTCAAAGACACTGGCAGACCTCCAGCTAGAGTATTTGGGCCTATACCTGATAAACTGGCCATATGCCTTTGAGCAAGGAGACAGAATGCTGATGGAACTGTTCACTGACTCTACCCACTACAAGATGACCTGAAAGGCTCTGGAGAAGATGGTAGCCAAGGGATTGGTGGGGCACTGGACCTGTCCAACTTTAACAGGCGGCACATGAATGATGTGCTCAACATGACCTCTGCCTTGCTGTCCTCCCGATAGAGTGCAACCCATAACTCGCTCAGAAAAAGCTGATTGCGCTCTGCTTCCATATGGTCTGGAAGTGACTGCTTATAGCACTTTGTGCCCCCTGATCATTCTTGGTGGGATCCTAGTGAGGCTGTCTTGCTTGAAGAGCAAGTGGTCCAGGAACTGGCTAAAAAGTATAGCTGATCTCCCGCTCAAGTCTTTTAACAGGTATAGAGGGAAATTACCTGCATTCCTACGAGTATCACTTCTTCCTGAATCCTTCAGAACATTCAGATATTTGTCTTCAGCTTCAGCCCAAAGGAGATGAAACAGTTAGGTGCTCTGAACAAAAATTGTTAGTACATCACGCCCATGCTTATGGTGAAGATTTATCAATTCTCAGAGTTAGGGAATGTGAGGGTAGGGTGTGATTGCCTCATCTCTGGCCTCAGGCTTTATTGCTCAGAGGAAAGGGGAAGAATTTGGCCTAGTGGTAAGAAGCTGCATTGTCATCCCAAAGGCAAGTGGTTCAAATCTTACCAGCTGCTTCATGGGAGAATGATGGGCAGTCTCCTCCTGGGCAATTAATTGCCTCTGAAAACCCGCTGGAGGGTCGGCTATGAGTCAGTTCTGACTTGACTGGCACAAAACAATAATCACAATGATGACAGCAATCTGAAACATCATGCATTGTGGGGTGGGTGGTGAAGAAAATGCAACAATTTAAAAATATTAATTAGGAAAAAAACAGTATTTTTTGTTCACAATAGCAAAGAGTTGGAAACAACCCACGTGCCCATCAACAAACAAATGGATAGAGAATCTGTGGTATATTCACACAATGGAACACTATGGTGCCTTGAAAAACAAGGGACTCTTGAAATATTATACAAAATGGGTGATCCTGGGGGACGTTATGCTGAGTGAATTATCTGTCACAAAAGGATGAATACTGCATAATGCCACTGTTGCAAAGCAGGACTGACATGGGGTTGGGGGAAAACTAAGAAAAGAGGGGATAAATAATGTATACTGCATTGAAACGGATGAGGGAAACTGTTTAGGAGGAATATATAATAAGGTATTATTAACATGACAGGAGTCCAGAATGAAAGCTGCATAGTGGAGTGGACTGGGAGTAGGGGGATTGTATAACAATGAAAGAATTTTTTTTCTTTTCAAAGAGAAAAGCGAACTGGGGGGAGGGGTGGGCAGGGAAGAAAGTGTACAACAATGAATGAATGAAAATCCAAAGTCTCTGTAAACTTTCATTAAAATTAATTAAGAAAAAAATAGTGTTGATTGTTAACAACCTCAATCTTTTCTCCATCTATCCTGGTACTGCCAATTGGCCCAGTGGTTAAGAATCTTTTTCTTCCTGATGTTGAGTTTCAATCCATATTAAAACTGCAGTCCTTGACCTTATACAGCAGACACTTCAGTTCCTCTTCAGTTTAGGGGAGCAAGGTGTATCATCTGCATAATGCAGATTGTTGATGAGTCTTCCTCCCATCTTGATAGCACATTCCTGCTCAAAGTCCAGCCTTCTGAATCTGTTCCACAGACTGAAAAGGTATGGAGACCAGACACATCCCTGACGTTCTCCTTTCCTGATTTTAATCAGGTGGTGTTTCCTTGATGTGTTTGGATGACGGCTTCCGGGTACATGAGCACAATCAGGTTTTCTGGAATTCCCATGGGCTGTCAAATCGGAAGCAACTCATAGCTGATTTTAAGAGGGTCCCAGGATATTGCCCATCTTTCTCCTGGAGCAGCTGCAACTGCCTGCATTTTTGTTAGCAGCGCAACTCCTTACCCACTAGGCCACCAGAAGTGCCTAGCATATATACACAGAGATACGGATGTCTGATGCAGCGGATAAATTTGAGTCTAACCGCCATCTCAAATTCACAAAAGAGGAAATGGTATTAAGACAGGACTTCCGACCAATCCCTGAGGGCACAACCGGAGTTTCAGAGCAGCGCTCAAGGTTCCTAAGTATCGCGATATGAAACGTGATCTTTGCCATCAATTGATTGGCTAGCTGGCTGGTGACGTCAGACGCATAAACGGCAGCAGGCCGCGGGAACGACAGCGATACTGCACATTCTGCTTGAACGGTGCTTTGAGTCTTCCAAGTAGGCAAAATGAGCAAAGCTCATCCGCCGGAGTTGAAAAAGTAAGTATGTGTCAAGGCTGAGCAAACGCTGCAGCCTCTGCCGGGCGCTAGTGCTCTGGAACACCTCTCCATGCCGTCAGTATGTAGGCCGGGTGGGCACGCGGCCCATCCCCCGCCCCTCACTCCGCGCCCGCTACTCGGGCCCTGGACCCGCGCTGCTGAGCTCCAGCCTGGCGCTGCGCCTTTCTGCCCGCTTGCTAGAATCCCCGTTCCGTTCTTTCATATCTTGCCTCCGAGCTTAGGGCCCCTCATCTTCGTAATCTTCCTCGTTATTCAGGACGTAGATAGCACACTCTTTTGAGCACCGTGAATGGCACCGTGTCCTGCGAAAGGTGGCTGGAATGGAAGTCTTCAGTATTAGGAATCAAAAGCCGCTTTAGTGTGTTTATATGTCTTGCGTATTAGAATTCAGTTTTTCCCTTAAATTTGTGTTCTTAAACCTGAATGCCTTTGCAGCTTTACCCTGATGCTTGTTTGTGTGGGAGTTAGCATTTTTCTGATTGGAGAAGGCTAGGTGGGGTTTTATGCACCCAGTAAAATCAGACTGAGCTAGTCCTATTTTATATAGGATCAATTTGACGTTTGAAGGCCCTCAAACACTCATGTCTCCTTAGTGTTCATACCTTTTATGCCAGGATTTTGACTATAGTAATTGGGTTGCACAAAGGGTTAGTAGCTTAAGGATCAGTTTTTGTGCGTCAGCCATCTAGTCTGTCTTATATATAGTTCATTTACTGCCAGTCCCTTAAGCACAGCGGTATCAGAGCAGACTTTGATGCGAGATTTGCCTGTTTTATAGTTGGATATGTTAAAGCCTAACATTAAGATAGTGGAAAATACTGAGCATAAATACTTTTGTAAAGTTTATACTGTGTTGATGGGCTTGTAAAATCTTATATCCTCAAAATTCTTAAAGATTGGTAGAAGTATAACTTTTTTCCTCCTCTTATAAACCCATTTTCTTTGATAACTTTATACTTGTGATTTAGCACACAGTTCCATAGTTCTGTACTTGAGGAGTGAAAAGAGAGTTTGGTACTACCTGCATCCAATGGGCAGAGCCAGCATAGCCCCTAACAGCAATGAATTCTCTGGCCTTAGCTATCAGTGATGCCAGGATTAAGATATCCTGGCCTAACAGGCACATGACGAAATGCTCAAAATTGCTGGCAATAAGAGAGATGCATTTCCAAACCACATTGAGATACTATCTCACCCAAGTAGCAGTGATAAAAGTTTAGCACTGCAGCAAGCAAGAAATGTTGGAGAGGATGTAGAGAGGTGGGAACTGTCATACACTACTGGTAGGATTGTAAAGAGGTACAACCGGAGAAGGCAATTTGGTGTTCCCTCAAAAAGTTGGGCATAGAAACTCTGTATGACCCTGCTATTCCACTACTAGGAATATACCCCAAGAAAATTAGAATAGACACAAACAAAGATCAGTACACCATTGTTTATAGCAGGGCTATTAACCATCACAAGAACATGGAAACAGCCCAGGTGTCCAACCACAACCCTTAAGGAGAAATACTACATAAGACCGTTAATTGTAAAAAAAGGATAACTAGTAAAACATGTTTGGAGACCCAAGAGGGGAAGGGATAGAAGCAGAGGTGTGAGAATGGGTAGGGGTGAAACTACAGGCATGCACAGTTTGATGGGTGGAGGGAGAGGTTGAAGGAAATGTTCTAGCTAGGAACTGAAAAGACAGGGTAATGATATGCAAGGTCCAATGGTGATTAATTTTAGAAAACAATGCATGGGAATGATTGTATGAAACATAACACATAGTGTGAAACACAATAAAACCCTACTGCATGCTGGAATAATGTAGACAGCATGGTACTGGTACAGTGACAGGCACATAGACCAGTGGAACAGAAGGAATCAAGAACCTAGAAATGGTCAGCTGGAATTCGACAAGGAAATAAAACCTGTCAGATGGGGAAATGACAATCTTTTCAACAAATGGTGCTGACAAAATTGGACTGTTACTAGAGAGCAGAGAGATGATCCACATCTCACACCATGCACAAAAAATCAACTCAAGGTGGATCAGAGACCTGGGAGAAAAGCACAAAGCCATAAGGGTCATAAGAGACAAACTGGGACCAAGCTTAAAAGGCCTAGTCTACAATATAAAGAGGCTAACAAATACAGCCAGAAATGCCCAGTCTAGAGAGGATAAAATTGATGAATGGAACCTTTTATAGAGTAAATCCCTGTGTGCATCAAAAACTTATTCC